AGTCAACCTAATGCTCATTGATTGTAGTATTTATGGTCGTCTATCAATGTGAATTTCCTTTTCATCGATCTTTTCAATCTGTGACTCGTCCAACAATCGTAACAGCTTCTTGAGAAAAGACAAATAATGTTTATGCGCCATTTTATAATAGTAGAAATAGTAGATATTATATGAATAAATCAATAAAATACAGTTGGAAATTTTGAACGGGACCGCTGTTGTCCGGTTACAATTCGGAAAGTGTCGGATGACACTCGGAGCATACTCGCACCTATATGCTCGCACCATCAATAAAAGATGATAAAAGACCTTTGTATGGTATTCTTCAGAATTTCGTGATATGGTAAACGGTTTATTCTTTTTCTTGCCGTTTTTCCGAAATTATCACCTAGTACGATATCAAACGGCAGAGTCAAAGACAAGGTTGACGAACCTGATCGATACAATCCAATGGAGGATAATATGTGTTCGCATTCATGAACTCAAAAATTATGAGATAATATATAAAAGCTTGTCGCAAAATCTCCATTCCCGTTGGAAAACTAAAGAAGGGATTGTCCTGGACGAATTTAGCGGCTAATCATCTAAGAAATGAAGATTTTTATTCCCACAAGGTACATGTTGAAAGATAATTTTGAATTTTATTGTCAGAGGGTAAATTATAAGTGTGCATAATTTGTGCAATCGGGTATCTGAAGTCTGAACAAAAATTTATCGTCCCTATTGCCAGGTGCATATCACCTACGTTAAAATTACAGCGGAGGGCGGTTGCCTTTCAGCGATCTTTTCCTTTTTTCCGAGCTTGTTGTTGATGTACGTTCCTGACTGTTTGGTCTCGTGGGCAAACAAAATGGTTGCAGTGCCAGCTTTACCAGTATCTATTTTGATAGGCTATATACTATATAGTATAAGCCTCGTTTTACGCTACACTTATGGGCACGGCTAAAATGGGTACTCATGCTCATTTCACAGGTCTGTCTTTGTATAGGTAGCCTGAACTCTAGTAAAAATATAAAATTGGGTACGAGTACCCATTTTGTTGTGCTGTGCCAGTAAATTAAATGTAGTATAAACAGGGGTATAAATACCAATGTCATTCATCAGCCCATTTTGGTATTATTGGAAAGTGAATTGTGTAAGAAAATAAAATAATTGTGCTACTACCAGTACTCTGTTAATTCAAAACCCTGTTTGATATCACAAATGTAATATTTGATCATTAATCTATTAATTGTATATTACTACTGCCTGCATTGCTGTCTTATTTTTTAAATCCAGTCAGTTTATTCACCCAAAATTCATCTCAAGCAGGCAGAATTGTATGGGTTTAGTCATTCGTCTTAAAGTATTTGTGCCAAAACAGAAATAGAGTGACGTATATTATTATGAAAAAGCACAAAACCTATATGCCATTAATACATAATTCCTAAAAATATACCAATCTATAATTGTTTTCCATGAAAATCAAACTTAAATTTATTGAAATGTAAACTGGGCCTATATATACATCTATTACATAAATCAACTTATGACATTTTTAAAATTATACAATACATTATACAAAATTACATAAACAAAATATTTGTATTGAATCATGCTTTATGGTGTGAAAACCTTAGATTATATTATATATACATGTGAAAAGTTTGTTTACAGCTTGCACTAAATGCACATTGCATGTTATAACAAACAATCTGAAACAAACTGTGCAAAAATATCTGAACACAACTCAATGTCATAGTTTTCCCTTCTTAGCTTTCATAATAGCACAAGTGAATCAGAAGTATTAATTAATTAATACAGTTACCCAAAAGTTTTATTGCGACTCTTGCACAAACAATTTTTGCTGTCAGGTATGGTGCAGTTGTTTGTGTTATTTTTGTACATCATTAAATCATTGTTTGTCCGATGCTTAGAGCAGTCATGTTATATGTAGACAAACATATAACTATCCGACTTGCTGTCTTCATTTAGAACGTGGCTAATGAATTGTTTAGAATCACAACAGAAGAAAATTGCAGCGAACATTTTAGTGAAAATTGTTTGTGCAACAAAATGGCTTTAAACTTAAATGTCTGTTTACAAATTAAGGTCTTACTGTACACTTTCACTAAATATGTCATCAGTTTCAAAGTCACTATATGTTGCAATAGTCCTTCTAAGGTCGTCGCTCCATAATTGTCATTGGAATCACTTTCAAAGTAATCTGAAGAAAAGAGATCCGTTTAATATAAGACATTCTTGTTATGTTGAGGTTATAATTGAAAACATAAAATAATAGAATTGGTTTGACGTCTGCAGATTTACGACTGATTCACACGATGACGTCATTCAGTTTTATCGCTGGCCATTTGTTTCCAGCAAAGACAATGTTTCTTAGTTTTTTAACATTCACGTAGCAACTTCACTTCTATAATTCACGATCAGAATCAGAGCGGCATTAACGAGAATGCTGGTGAAGAATTTGAAATTGCATTCTGGCTAAAATATCATATATAAAGAGGCAAGTTCAACAAGCCGCGTTCTGCTCTGAATAAAATATAAAAGGATTCGAACTTGTTTACTTCTTTTTCACGGTGTAGTTTCTCACATAATCCTTCACGTTTGTCCATGGTCTGTTTTGTACTATCCCGTGATTCTCCTCCAAAAACTTAACACACTCGTTTTTTTTGGGTAGCACTCCATTTTGAATGTGTTTTTGGAATGTTTTCAACGCTGCCTTTCTTTCTGGCGTTGTCCACGTTTTCTTCGCCACCATCTTTCGTTGCTGACCTATATAAATTATAGTAAATTCATTACAGACTGTATGTAATACAAGTTAACATAGTTAGCTATTGACCTGGGTAAGTTAAATTGTTAATACATGATTATGGAACGGCTGACGGTCTTTCGTCTAGTTACGACTTATGAGTGACAAAATTGATTGTTCGTTACATATATATCAGCTTACCCGGTTGATAATTCAAATGTAAAGTCCATAAAAGTATTATGCCACTAATTTTTGCTGATAAGTTATTTTCATTTATTCTCTTTGTAGATCTTGTAATGAATGATCTTTTCCGAGATTTGTGGAAAAAATATTTGTATTGTGTTCAGCATGTTCCGATTTTGTATAAAGACAAAATATATCCGAGACAGGCGCGGAGAGTAAGTACAAATACTGCTCACTATTTCCAAAAGGTTATTCAATTTTTGTACAGTGCCTTAAGTAACATAATGTGGCAATAATAGCCTCAATTAACTAGGTTTGCCCTTTGCAGAATATAATCTGCCTGATTATGCATGATTTACCCTTCATGGGTATGGACTGTTAGTATATCGTTTTTAATTTGAAACCTCTGAGCATATGACTCTTGACCACGCATTATGATATGTTAATATCCACATTTTTCGGACAAATAAAAAAACTTTAATTCGTGCATGTGTTAACGAGTAAATATATGTGATTTACCATATATGTGATTTACCAGATTGGAGGTCCGCATAGGGAAATATTTCCCAAGGTCTCAAAAATAGCTACTATACATATATATGATAAGCATTCATGGACTGCATGCATTCTATGTTTAATATTGTGAGAGTTACGAACTTTTCTGTCGCGAATCGGCTGCATGGTTTTGCTTTGTGCGTTAGATAGCATGTTATTCGAAGACGATAAAGAATTGATAACGATGCAATAGCAGAGGTGAAATTTAATGAGAGCAAATTTACTTAGGCCTGAGTAAGTGTCTGCTTCGTTCCTCAAGTGTTTGTCAATATGTTACAGTCAGTGTGGTTAACCGTTATACAAATTCATGCGTCACTGATGATGCAGAAATTAAAATTTTTGCAACAATCTTACCTGCCTCGAGGGTTCCCCTTTTCTTGTTACAATGTTTTTTAGACTTTTCAGTGGACTTGTTCGTTCCTAGGGTTAAAAAGTTTAAAACTGTCTAGCATTGAAAATTTAAGCCATTGAAAATCCCATACATGGAGATCTTATATGTAATATATATTGATTTTCTGTTTTAGAAAATATTGAACATTGCTTGGCTGAAAACAACCTGGTAAGTCAACTGATGATTTTTTTGCCAATTTACGTGCGCATCATATTGGCTTCAGGCCCTTATATTTTTTCGGATTGGATTTCGGACTTCTTTGTATGTGGGGATAAAGATTGACTGAAATTAATTGCAATTATGCAATGTTTATTTCGCTCATAAAATGGTATTTATAGTAGTTATATTATAAGACAATTGTACCACTTGCTCGCAAAGCGATTTATTGTTTGAGAGCAATTAATGTTAGTAAAAGCCACATATGTAGCCTTACCCTTTTTGGTCGTTGTCCTTTTGCCAGCAGAAGTTAGCGATGGCGATGTTATGTTGCTCTGGGGGAATCGGTTTTCTACAATATATAATATATTGAGATATTTAGTAACATAGAAAGTGCAATTTAGCAATTTTCGGACTTCAGATTAAAGATTTTGGCCTGAAGAATTTCAGGATTACGTATAAAATATATGCAGTATAACACACGGTTGTTGAAGGCTTTGTTGGGTATATAATATGCTGTTTGAATTAAGCAACTTTACCTGTCGCAATGAACCGAAGGTTGATAAACTTTACTAACGGAGACCCAGAGACAGAGAGAAACGTGCCTTACTAGCGTTCGTATCAACGCGCAAATTCAGTTAAGAAAGTTACGAAGTTTATTTAGATCCGGATGCCGGCTGAAGCTATAACCACTAAGGGTACATGTAGTTGCCTATAGGATTTGCATATAACCTGCCTATATATAGGTTTTGTGTGATGTATTAATGTTCATAAATTGTGTCTCCAAGAGCCTGTTAACTGAAATTGAACAGTTTTATGTCACATACACAATATATATATATATAATATATATATATATAATATATTATATATATATATATATATTATATATATACTGTGTATCACTAACCGCAATATTACAGCACCTGGATCACACCACCACTGGAATTGGTATAACAGTGTTACTTAGAAATATTTACCTTTATCTAACTCAGACTCGGCATCCTCTTCACTCTGAGTATTGTGAAAGTCTGGAATAAGATAAGAAATTTTAATTCTTCTTCTTCACCTATTCTTATCATTACCTATACTAATCAGTTAATGTAAATAATTGTAAGTTATCTGCCGTATGGCGGCGCTTATTTTGGTGTTTGATGTAATAATTTTATCATTCTGACAATACCTTGAAGTGTAATGTCCCGCAGGTTTTTCCCTTTAAATTCGTGTGCCCTCCCTTCATCGATGGCCATTAAGAGGTTACCAACTACTGCCATCTCAAGTGTGCTTTCTTGCATCCTGTAGAACTCTTTATGGATGTGCACGTCGTGACCAAGATGAGTTGCCAGCCATCCCAATTCATTTTGATCCATGTCAACGAGCTGCGACACAGTTGCCACATACTTTCGGAGGTTGGTTGAAGTAATCACGTCGGGATTTTTAAGATCAACCATTTTACATGCCTGACGTATAACATCGTTCCCTCGTAAAAACTGTTTTGAACTTCCGTCATTCACTGCGAAAACATAGGGATTTTCTTCGTTCACATTCCCATCTTCCCTTGTCCTGTTCAAGACAAGTATGGCAGCTTTTACATCAGGTGTCAGCAACACGGGAACTTTTCTGTTTCGTTTTCCAAGAATTTCCACCATGTCAAACCTAGAGTTTAATTTATTTTAGGATAATACGTCAGGTTATATAATGGGACTATAAGTTTCAACCTTTCTGGACTGTCACCGTTATACTATTATAGGTTTGCCTTGTAATGAAGCGTAAGTTGTTTTTCCGGTTTTCTCTACAATTAACATCATGCTGACTTATATAGATAATGAAAATGTAGCTAACTTTATCACGTACCGTTTGCAGAGTTCTCTTTCAGTGGCTGAAAGGGCAGAAACTATTTCCTCGTTGTGAATGTTGCCCCACAAAGGCCTCCCTTGGAAAGCATCGAGTTTCATTCGAGAAGCCTCCCCACCTGTTAACATAAAGTTTATTTGTTTAGTATAGATACATGTAACTTTGAATAATTTAATTATTTATCTGCCAAAGCTTATTTTTTCGCATTTAAAAGAACGCGAAAGTCATTTACCACAAACAAGTACATGTGATATCCAAAAGTAAGAAAGGTGAAAGTATATGTTTTGAACAAGGCAAAAATGATTTTTATTGCCCTGTCCTTTGATAAGATATTATAATATAAAATAATAGCATTGAATAATATCAGTCTCCCAGAACATAAACATGAGTGTTTTGGTACCTCTCCGTTTATTGAACATAATCAGTCTTGCTAAGGCTGAATTAGCAAGTTTCCTCCAATTTTCTTGCATAGGGTTTTTCTTCACATCCTCGCTAAGTTCCAAAATCTGCTCGTTGAGGAAAGTTCGCAGGGCTAGTAGGTCGTTTGTTATTGGCAGGAGTTGTGGCTTGTTGTGTTTTTTAAATGACAAATTATCCAGGGCTTGAGATGTTACTTTGGCGCTCCATTCTCCCTCGTACAGCTCTAGGAACAGATCGACGTCGTTTTTTGCTTCCATGTCTTTTCTTCGCAATGCCTGGCCTTTTACTACATACGCCGCTTTTTTTAAGGCATATCCGCATTTGGCAGCTGTCGACGGGGATTTGAAACGATCCGCACTGGTGTTCGGTGCTCCTGTGTATCCACCAAGATATCTTGCGCTGGCAAGATGGTTATCAAATTGTGCTGGCGTCAAACTCTTCTCAAGCGATAAAGTTGGAACACAACATAACTCTCTAACCTTTATGAGCAATCGGGCAAGAATACGCATTTGTTGTGAAACTTCCACAGCTTTTTCATTGCCGCGTTTCTCTATTAGTGTGGAGCCCACCCTTAGGATTGTTTCATCAGTTCTGACTACAGCACTGACATCATCCATCGCCATTATTGCCAAGACGTTATCTGATAGTTGTTGACTAGCACCGGATGGAAATTTATTTGCTGCCAACAACAATCTTCCCGCATGCTGCAGCTTCTTGGATTTCATGGTGTGGTTTATTTCTTGAGCGAAAGGACATTTTGGGCAGTGTCGGTATAGATCCTTTTTCTGGAAGAAACCATGACAAAACTGACAGGGCAAGTAATTGGAGGGGTCTTTATCTTCGTTTTCTCCTGGTCTCCGCATTACCTTTAGTTCACCTTCATGAACCTCCAACACTTTCAAGTTGTGGTTAAAATTACCAAGGCGACACAATTTGTCCAGTACCAACTGGCGCGTTCTGTCGTTTTTTTCGAGAGCTACAATTTCTGCCACTTCTTTTTCATTTTTATGGACTTGGAAGAGATGTCGACCAAGCTTGCCAAATTCCTTCTCACAAAAGTAGCAGGCATTTTTTTTGTCGTATACTCTTCTTCCATCTTTTTCACTGCTTGACATTATATACACTACATGCAGATAAAAAGAAAGATTGATCAACAAAGAATTTCTTAAAATTTCTTGACTACGGCGCTGACATGACAAGACGTTATCTGACTGGTTGGAAAATTGTAAGGACTTGGACTATGTCTATATAGAGAGGATTGCAAGCATCAATTGACATGCACTATAAAATTAATTTACCTCCAGATTTCTTGATTGCTTCACTAGCGCTGCTGTCAGTTCTTATTAGGGACTTGTCTGTTCCATCTAAGAGATTTGAAAAATATTTTCCGGTAAGGTTAGAACTCATTTTTGAATCACGGATACTCCGTATAGGAGTATCAGGGAGGCATTTCTCGCATTCTTTAGTACCATTAACTCGACCAACCTGCATTGCGCGCTTAGTATTAACAACTTGTTTATCTGGTTAGTCTGCTAGCCACCAATTAATCGGCTATTCGTGCATCCGTGAGTTGTTTCATTGAGACGTTTGATTTGTAATAATCTTATAGATTTAGCTAGTTTAAGACATCGTACATTTACTGTCTTAAACAGTTTCTTCAGAATTGCAAGAGATAAATAAGCAATATCCCGATACGACTTATAGCTATGTGGTATTTTTCCCTTGAATATTTCTTAGCGTTTATAGTTTTTATTCCTACAATTTTTATATATAAACTAGCATGTGTACCTTTAAATGCATACTCATCGTCATCTTCAGACTCAGAATCTTTGTCTAAAAAGAAAATATTAAACTTAGGCTTATTAACCGACTACGACGTCTGTGCGAAAAGTATTTTGCCCGATATTTTGCGATACACATGACCTGATGCATACCTTCTTCATCTGTGCTAGGTACATACTCGTCACTGGAACTTTGGCTCTCTTCCTATATAAAATATATTTAGTACTTTTTATGTTGTAATTATAAGTTGCATGCACTCGCTTTCCATTTTTGTACCATATTCTTTTTCTCGTGCATATTTCTAAAATATGAGCTCAAAATAGAAAGGCAAAATGCCCAAAACGCGTTAAAATACCTCAATTTTAGAATTAGGACCTGGGCCAGTTTCGTTTGGATGAAGTAAATTATCTGCAAAATAGAGAGAATAATGCATAATTATATAAACCGACTTCACGTAAGGAACAAATTCGGGCAGGGAATACTAGCACTAATTTATTAAAACAAATTAAATTGACAAGGAATAGCTAGGTTAACCTTACAAATAGTTGTATAGTGCGATATTCAGCATTGAGTGCAAAATTCTCAAAAATTCTATTTTTGTTGTTAATTTCATTTTTTTTAATTAACTATTATTATGCTACTCAAGTCAGAATGTTCTTTGCGCGTGTCCTATTTATGATATGGTAAGCGATCGGAGTGAATGTCCTGTGATATTAAATATGCAGCACTTGTCTCTTGTTATTCTTTGTTCTGTCTTTAAACCAAGGATTTTTTGTCAAAAGGTATATAATTGATATATAAGTGCTAGAGCGAATATAAATTGGATAAACCTAAAGGAATTTTACCGAATGGAATTTTTTCAATTAACTGACGTTCACTCACCCGTATTCTGGCATTTGAAACACCTTACTTCTTGCCCATAGCCTTCTGGCCCTATTCCAACACCGCAAAATATATGGACAGCACGATGACATGATGCGCACATATGTGCCCCCGATACCTCCCCAAAGCAAACATGGCACTGATCATCTGTTATATCTAAAGTTTGAAATTACATGTATACTACGAAGTGCAGAAAATGTCAGATTGTTTATCTTTTTTAGTCAAGTTACAACGTTTACTTACTGGTAATCTGCATGGAATGATCATCGATCTCCATGGAAACTATAGTAGATTCATTATGGTGTTCTACATGTACGTAAACATTTATATTATATTTATATATTGAATTATATGAATTATGTACATTACCTTGTACCAGCTAATCACATGCACTGATGTACCGCGTAAGAATAATTGCTTACACTATTGAATGTATATACTCCGAATATATTCAATTCCCGTGGTGTAACGTTGATGCAATAATCTTTGCTAAAGAGGAATATATAACTATAATTTATATTCTTGTATATAACTTACTCTGCTGGATTTGTCCATCAATTTCCATGGAAAATTCTGCACCGGTAGCAGAGTTGTCTTTTTCTTGTTCTATATTATATTATATAAGCATAAACTTTTTAATGTATGATACATATTCCTAAAGGAAAACATTTTATAAATAACAATATAACGTATATCTTAGGAATTAAACCGTTACCATAAGCTTTCGATCAAACAATACGTGTAACGTAATTTTTTAATGCCATATTGTGAATTGGCAGCTGCAGATATATAAGTTATAGTTGATGTGCCGTTATATTTCATATGTATCTTGTATAGAAATGCATATAATCACATTTGCATGGGATTTCAATCAGATTACACAACATATGCAATTCTAATTAGATTTCGAGTATCTATCTATATATCTATCTGCGGCCAACGTTTTTGCAAACGGGTGTATATATATATATATCTTGACTGGTTTAAAACTTGTTGAGACCTACCAATGACACTTTCCTTTAATTTCTCTTGTTTATCAATCACTGACAGTGCTTTATAATTGTGCAAAAAAGTAATGACAGTGTCATTATAAGTTTATTTTTTACTTATATAGATTTATATAGATGGTATACGAGACAAATATCAAGGGAAAATAGGGTGGCTACTTTTTGCGGATTCGTGAACAATGATATTGTGCACAAGACACAAATATGGCTGCGTTTATTTTTTCGCGTTTTCCTGTGAATATAGCTATTTAGCTATGCATGACTGCCACTCATTTCTGGCTTCAGCTAAGGTGGCTACAAATTCCCCTTAAAAACAAATGTTTATAGAATGCATTAAATGTACACTTTTTACTTACATGTAATCTGAGCGTAGTCATCTATTTCGTTGGAAACTGTCGCATCGTCATTTTCTTGTTCTACATATATGAAGGTAAACTTCAATGAAAATACACAACTACTAAGGCTAACCAGAGGTCACACTATACAGACGGGAGTTATAATCAAAAGGTATAACGGGTGCTATAATTTACGTTAATTTTTGTGGACATACATGATGGACCTTTCATAATTAAAATCGGTTTGTTTTGTTAAAAACTTTAAGCCTCTTCAAGTTGGTCATTCGAGGTAAAGCAGACATACTAATGTGAATGCACGAATATTTGGATCATTTTCTCGTTAAGCTGTGCATGCAGTATACATGCAGCTATACTTTGTTTTTAAATATTAAACTGATTTCTTTTTTTTCATTAGTTTATTTTGCCTCGTCAATTAAGTAGCCGTAGCTGTTCAGAGTTAAGAGAACGTTACATTTATATCATTTTTCTGGAAGAAATATTTTCACATCCAGTTTATATTCAGGGCATGGCCGACGGATTTCTTTTGTAAGTGTTACAAAAGAAATCCATCGGACAGAAATAGATATCTGAATAAACAGCCTCGCCCTCCGATTCTCGTTCTAGCTACGCCCCTCTTCACATCTATATACAGTGGCGTAGCCAGCCTGACGATTTAGTCATGCTACGCAAATTTTATATTATTATCATTATTCATTTCCTTAGAAATTCATTGTTTTCACAGTCAATGAACACCAAAATATTAGCATAGCATGACTAAATTGTCGGGCTCGCTACGCCACGGCATATATACCTGTCCGAGAATGTATATTATATACGTACACTAAATTTACAACACTTACTGGCAACCAGGACATGATTGTCTGTTTCCAAGGCGACAGACTCGTCATGGGTGTAGGCTTCGTTACATAGTTATAAAAATATTTCAAATGAGCACCCAACAATTAACAACAACTAAATGTCACCTCTGCATGAAATCTCTATGGCTAACAGCAATGGCTTGCTTTTTTATCAACTTATCTGATATTGCTTAGTTTTACTGCATGCATGAAAGTAGCTGCTGCCCTTGTTTTATTTTTTTATATATTCCTCAGATACAGGTTAAGAAAAGTTTCAATTGTGAAATTACATGAGCAATCACATACGTGTAATGACATAATCCTCCAAATGCCTTTGTGGAAACACAGGCGTGACACACGAAATGTTACTCTGGTTGTTCGCTTGGCCTGCAACGTAGAAAAAATTTATTAATGCTACTTTAACTGCATCTAGGCGTAAATGTCGTGCATTAAACTAACAACTACTTACTAGTAACTTGAGCATGATCATCAATAACCATGGATCCGAGGGGAGTGTCCTCATTTTGTTGGTCTACAAATCAGCGTATTTTCAATAAGCTTTTACAGAAACTAAAAGTCTTGTACCAGGCAATGTTCGTTATAGCAGGCACGCCGAAACATCGATAATTGGGGAGGCATATATTCATATATATTCGAGTTCTGCATTATTGCTTTCTTTTGAAATTGATTGTTTTTACGGTCTGTGAACTTGAATATATGAATATATATGCCCCCCCCCAATTATCGTCTTTTATCGATCTTCCGGCGTCCTCTGCGTTATAGTTTATACTCACTGAATGCTACTTAAAAACAGTTCATTGCATTGTTTTATTATCGAAATATGAATATTATAATAATGATATTTTGCAATATTGAGTTTGACTATAATCTTCTATTAGATAACGTTACTACAAGATTTTACAGTACCCCGATATGAAAATAACGCCCTAAGGCACAAGGACAAACCATGGGTGCTCTATGTGAACTGGGACTATAACTTGGTGGTCACCTTTGAAGCCAATTAGGAACCATGGTGCCATGAAGTCTATTTTCATTTTTTGCCTTCACGGCTGGCGATCGGTGCATGACGTAGCCAGAACATTAGTTGGGGGGGGGCATATTCATATATTCACGATACGCAGGATTAATTTCTTTTCAAATCAATCGTCTTTACAGTCTTCTAACATGAATATATATGAATATATGCCCCCAATTAATGATGCTGGCTACGCCACTGCTGGCAATCGCACCGAAAAAGAATAGAAAGGGACTCTGGTGCTCAATTCGGCTTCAAATTGGCTTCAAAGATGCATGTTTGCTAAGTAAATATAAACTCTATCTTTTCAGTTATTCTAACCAACCTTTGGCACTTTCATTTGCCTTCTCTGCGATCGTTAGCCCTGTGAATTTTTCTCGTTTGTGTTTTAATCGGTCTGTAGGGTATAATGGTTAATTAGAATTATAATAATTTGAATCCAGTGGTCAATTTTTAAAAAAGTATAAGTTTTCTTCAGACCGTATAAAATGGTTTGTCAAGTTTGCTAAGTTTGTCATTCATTTCGGTTGAGCTATAAAAGACATGCAAGTTTAATTTATGTCATTTATATACCCTTTTGAATTCGCCATGGAAGGTCCTTCACACCGTAATCGTAGCGTAACTCTTCGTTTTTACATAGATCCCTCTTAGCATAAATTGCCAAGTGAGGTTGACTATTAATGATGAGTCTTTTCATCAGACAATTCGCCACTCTTGCCTCGGCATCATTAACCAGTCTTCCAAGTCCGTCTGAATAAGTTGCATCGACACTGTAATATAATTTTAGTTAATATACATAAGAGTCCATAGTTGGAATTTTGTGTGTATATAAAACTCGTTTATAGTAACACGCATTTCAACCCGCAATTGTACCAACTGCTGCTAAGGCGTATCAATGCATCAGAATTCATAAAGATATCATGCAGTGAAACAAAAACTGAACAATTGTATAAGTTCATTGAAGATTGATTAATTTTCAACTTGGACATCTATAGTTCAAAGTACAATAATTGTGCTTGTGCATCTGAGGCATTTACCGTGCATAACAACAATGGAAGTTTTTTGGAAGAAAATATTATTATCCTGCCGAAATGATTGCACTTGTTGAAAGACTGAATTTTCAAATAAAATGACCTTATTTCGACCTTTCAGGAGAATTTGTTTATAGAAGCGACATTCTTCGGCTCCAGGCCGCGTAGGTGTAGCACTTTCAAAAAGAAACACCTAAGCCTGAATTTAAAACAGTCACAGCAAACATGACGATCGAGCCAATGTAGTAATTTAGGTTCAACGAAAGAGCACGTACAATACTCATTGTTTAAAAATATATTTCAAGCAAATTATTCAAACACTTAGTAAGGGCTGCCTTCCACTGTCTCGTTTTTTTACGCGCAGAAAAATTTAAATGCTTCCAAATTTTGATTATATTTAACACATGGATCAACAATTGCATACTAAAATATACGGAAAACTAGGTTCTTTCGATATATTCATCTGGCTTTATGACATATATAAGGATTTAGACTTTTACGTGCGTGTACGTGCGTATGAAAATCGCGTAAGTGAAAAGCAGTCCTAAATGTTGAAGCAGTGCTTGGATGGACGTTATTAGCCTGAACATACCACAATGAGGCATTTCCTTGTTGGAAAAAGAAAAGAAAGCTTCCAAGGTCGTCAGGGTAATTCTTCTCTCTAATGTAACCTTCCTCTTGAGAAATTAATTCCCCTTTGTATTCTAGAAGGAAATCCCCTTTGGAGAATGTTTTTGTGGTAAAAACTCCTCGACCTGAAAAATGGAATAATAAAATGGAAAAATAGAATGACTTGATAATTATATGTATAAAGTTTATGATATAAGCGTAGCTGGCAATTGCTATATGGGCCGGTCTGCCGGTCAAGAAAATTAAATTATACTGATTTAGTACCGATATCATCATCGATGTATCTTTCCTCGAGGTGTTCTTCGTCTTTAGGTAGGGAGAATTGTCCTTTTCTCTATAAGATATAAAATGCCCTCTTAATATTAGGCTGCAGTAATCGCAAATGCGGCGCGCTCATTTTGGGGTGGTGCTCAATCTGGGGCGGTATAGGATATTAAACGGTTGCAAGAAAATATGGGTTGTGTGTTCGAGTAGTAAAAACGAGTGAGCGCATGGAATGAGTGAGATTTTTTTTTGACAAGAGAACATATGAAAAATCCATATCTTCCAGCGAATGTTCCGTTTATTATGGACAAAAATGAGAAGAAACTCAATAAATTATTAATAAAAACAAAACAAAGCTGTAAAACAAAAAACACCCATTACATATTTTTTTTATTTTCACTGGTGAAATATGGAAAATATGAGTGTTATACGGTAGAACACCCATGCATGTCCATATAATATAAATACTTTTATTTTAAACGCTACCTTGTTTCTGCGTGTTGATCGCATTCCTTGGTCGTCTGACATGGTTGGTCGTTTGGCAAGTTCTTCACAAAAACACCAAAGGCAAATGGAGTTTTAAATTAGAAAATTTTGGGAAATGGAGTTTCTAAATTAGAAAACGTCAACTTAGCGATTCTAAGTTATAGAAATAACATGCTACCAAAGTTAACGGAAATGTTTACTAGGACAAATTCGATACTTCATTTAACATTACCTAATCAATTAAAAATAAATGGAAAATTTGCCTACAGGGGAGTTGTGGCTTGGAATGACCTCCCGCTGCAGTTTAATCATCGAAAATTGTTCGTATATATATATATATATATATATATATATATATATATATATATATATATATATATATATATGCATGATCTCTAACTTCCAAATTAGCTAAGTAGCGAATATAGACTATATATATGAATATTGCAGTTCAATTTCCATTAATACTATTTTATATAGTTTATGAGATAAAATATAGTACATTTTTCAACTGAAAAAAAAGTCAATTAAATGAAAAGTAAATAACGCCTTAATCAGCTCCCACATGCGCTTGACCTATAGATAATTTGCGACGAATGAATATACTGCGGTGACAACTGCTTCGGTGATTATAGCACTGTATTTTATTCATTTTGCAAATGCACGATAAAAACAAACCTTTAACGAAATACTTTGAGTAAATAAATATTTGAAACTGAACGAATAAATGTTCGTTTTTTGCTTGAAACACACACGAAAAATGGAAATATAGAATGTTCTATAGTTGAAAGCTTCGAATTCGAATATCCAATATATAATATAAAACTTCTAATAGACAAATTCGTTGGAGCATTTATTATATATGTTTATATGCAAGTGTTTATATGAAAGGTTTTACACTCACCGCCTCGGTTGGTAGGTGGGGGACATCCTGTTTACCAAAGAGGATAACCCTATAGTGCATGGTAGGGACAACGTTTATCCATGTAAACACTTTGTCTCGGCCTCCGGGACTAACTTTTCCTACCGGTGCCTGCGCAAAAACTAGGGGATAGTAAACGCTTGGTAAAGAGTCCCTATTCCCTTGATCATGTACAGCCCTTAGTGCTACGAAATGGAGGGGGTGTTTCCAATTAATAGAAAACATATTTTCATTTTTTTTTTACTTTTGGAAACTTATGACGGATTTGCTAATTAAAACAATTTTTATGGCTTTGCCGTTTTGGTTTTTTTTTAAACAGAATAGCTATATATAGCTACCTATAAATTTGCCAAATGATAAAATTGTTTGGGCCAAATGATCATAAAATGATCATAAAATGATCATAAATCATTTGGAAAAATGTAGTTTTCCTTCAATAATGCTGGTGGTATAACTAAAACCCTGTCTTTCGATTTTTTACGTGATGAGCAACATGCAGTCCGCCCGTGCAAATTCTACTAGGACTTGACTACATACATGGAAACCTTATAGTCCGAGTACCGTAAATGATCGATTAAGCGCCGCGGCGCTTATTGCAAATATCGATTTTAAGATGCGGCGCTTATTTGACAGCGGGGCTTATTCGACAGCGGCGCTTATTTCAAAGTGAGCAAATAGATTATTTTCTGAAGGCCGATGAATCGAACAAACTTTTGGTAGAGGTTACATGAAAAAGAAAGCGCGAAGTTGGGCTGGTGATTCCCGCTAAGTTCACAGCATTTACGGCGAATCGACGACATGCCCAAGTGTTAGACACGGAGTTAATTAGGAAGAAGGAAAATTTTAAACTATCAGAACTGTCATATGAGCCCGTTTGTAAGAGATATTCGACAATAAAACTTTAGTTTCAATACTGGCCGTCGTTCTCAATAGTTTAAATGTTAAGATTAACGCGTTTAAATAAAGAATCGTTTATTTCTACATTTTTTAGCGTTTATTTATATCTTCCTAAATAGGCGCCGCGGCGCTTATTCAACAGCGGCGCTTATTAAATTCTTTTTATTGAGGTGCGGCGCTTATTCGACAGCGGCGCTTATTCGAGTAGCGGCGCTTAATCGATCATTTACGGTACGCCAAAAATAGCACGAGTGCTGGGTAACACTGTTGCGACATAATCAAGATGAGACGTTTGTCATGTGTCAAGTCGTGTATTTATTTGACGACCTCTAGGTATAGCATTTCATTTTGAACTTAGGTTTGGTTGTGAGCGCTATAGAAGTGCGTTGCTGCGTGCCTTGCATGGAAATGTTGTACGTAGATATTACAGTGTTATGCTGTGGCTTTATTTATTCATTTGGCTATAGTTGTCTATATTGCTTGATGAATTGTTGGCTTGTAAGGCGTCAGTGAAGTGCCAGTTTGAATGTCATGGGAAGAATATTAAAGTCTCGCTATTCACAGCCGAATGTTTTATGCAATGTTTTCCAGCACGGAATTTGGTTTCATTGAAAGGCTCAACAGTGGCCGGTAAGTAAGATCATGCAGTCTTTTGTAGGCCGAAATTAGCGTGATAATTGGGGAGGGGATGCGTATTCATATATTCTCTTGTGCCCAACGGATTTCTTAATCTGTCGGACAGTCGGACAGATTGGTAGAATGAAAATATATGCTTCCCCCTTAATTTTCGAATCTAATTTCGGTCCTGCTTTTGTCAATATAAAGTAGCCACGTTTGAGATCTACATAATTTGTTTCGAACATTTTGTAAATTTGAAAGCTTAGTTTGTATCGATAATCTATTATCGCATGCAGTCCTCTATAGAAAGTTCATACCTCGCACGATTGTCTATGCATGCATGCAGTAGAGATAAAGTTTCATATGGGGTGTTGAAAATTGATAAAGTGGATTAACTCATAAGAATGTGAATATAATAGTATCACAAGAGCAACAGCATAAAATGCCTTACCCCTGCAGTCAAATTACTGTCATTGGGATTGAATAAGCACGGTTTCTATAAAACTAAATTGTAAAGCGTATTGAAAAAACTATGATTATTTGCCATGCATGCATGAGATTCGATTGTGCTTGTTTGCGCACCCGTGGCTTAGCAAATTGATCAGGCATTTAAATTATAAGAGTGGGTTTATTTCTAAAGGTCTTCTTTTTTCATATATACACCCTTATGCTGGTATTCATCATTGGTTAGGCATTTCAGCTACTTATTTGTGTTATCTGTGGTATGTTGTTGTTTAGTATACTTGAACATGCAGTATCCTATTAATTAAAAGAATACATGCATCAACAGCTGTGAGCAAACCTAGTGCATGTATATATATACACCCATTTGCAAAAACGTTGGCCGCAGATAGATAGATAGATAGATACTCGAAGTCTAATTAGAATTGCATATGATTACATTTGCATGGGATTTCAATCATATTAAACAACATGTGCAATTCTAATTAGATTTCGGGTATCTATCTATATATCTATCTGCGGCCAACGTTTTTGCAAACGGGCGTATATATATATATATATATATATATATATATATATATATATATATATATATATTATAATATATATATATTATATATATATATATATATATATATACCATGTAATATACACGCAGTATCAAAAAAGTGCAAACACTATATAGTTTCTATAGAATAAGTAGATCTTTGTCCTTCGGATAACACAAATTGAGTTATAATGCAAATTAGGAATATTATATAACTTCGGCTACGAATGGCTCAGCTGGCCGCAGAGCAAAGGCGAGAGTGCTTATCGTGTCAAATTACGCGAAAACACGCAGTGTTCAATAAAAATATTATTGTGTGTTTATGTACACAATTTACTTTGCTTGCATATGTTTTCGTTAGTAACACTAACCCTACGCCGTTACCGTAACCGTAGCATGATCAATTGTGTTTTACGCGCCCTCCATGGCCTTCGTTTGGTCTGTTTTAAAATTATGTAAATATCTGATTTCAAAAAGGTTTGTAGTTTTTTATACACCCTATGTACAATAAGGCTTAAGTCGCTTACTCGCTGCGTTAACAAATTTGTGCTGAGTTAACTCGTGCTGAGTTAACAAATTGATTCAGGGTTTGTGATATTTTCTGTGGAATATCTCCCTGGCAGCGCAAGTTTCTAATGTGTGCATATGGTTTTCAGGTTATGGTTTTCAAGTTATTGAACTGCCTCTTGATTGCTAACTTAGACAATATAGTTTTCGATTTTTTGTGCCCAATTCCAGTTGGAAGTATTTCATATATAAGCATGCAATATTTTCTCAAAGCCGTAGGAAACAAATGCAAATAAATTGGAGCAGAATAAATTTTTGCATGCTCGTAAGTGCCCTTTTTTTAGAAAGTGATATGAATTCAAGGAATAAAATTTCAGCTTTGAAATTTCAGCTTATTAAAGAGTAATCCCTTTTTTCGGCATACTGTAAGATTTAATTAATCAAAGTTAACGGGCGATTTTAAAGCGATTCAAAAAACCACTATCCGGTGGATAGCGCTTTACAACCGGCCTTGGAAGTCTTCGATAGTTTCGTTTTATATAATTTTTACCTAAATTAAACCAGTGATTAAACTTTTGCTTATTTCAACCGCTGCGAGTGTTAGCATTGTATGACTGTCAATCACAATGCATGTGTAATAAGTAACTAGCTTTTTCTTAAACGCAATTGTGAGTTGAGGATTTTCACCTTGTTGAAGCATTTGATGAAAATTATATGCGTGTAATGTGGTTAGTGCGCTTGTACATAGTTATAACGTGATTCGGTATTCTTAATCTCGCATGGGCTTGCACACGAAAATATATTCCCTTTTCATGCGTTCTTTGTTTCAGAGTGAAATGTCCATGATTGCATCAGCGAATTTGCCATTAAAACTTGCGTCGGATTTCTTAATTGGTGACATTTATTTTTAGTCCGTCTACGCGGCATGCCCTATAGATTGGAATTCTGCGCGTACAGCTGAATTATATACATTGCAGCCGGTTTGCATTCCCAAATTCTGTGGTGTAGGCGCCTTTCAATGACTGAAAGTGAAAAGCAATGTGTTCATGCACGGTTTTCATTTATAGTCGCTGCCGGGTTTCTCGATCAGAAGTATTCGGATTGGTAAATTTTCCGATGCACATTATGTTCCATTGTGCATGGCAGCAATATAGGTAATAAACATTGGCGGTGTATAACTGCATGAATGTAAAAATGATGAATGCCAAAAATAGGCTGGATTTATATTGCAATTATATACACTCGCATGTGCATGTCAAGGTTGATTCGCGCCAAAAATTTGAAAGTGGCGCGAATTATAGAATTAAAAAAATGGCGCGAATAGAATTTAAAAACGGCGCGAATAGAATTTA